CTAAATTTTTATGTTTTCATTCCTATTAAATCATATCAATAAAACTACCTATATGTTAACATAGATAAGGTAGTATACTTCAAAATACTTGTTTTAACATGAATAAAACATTTTGTAAGCTTGTTAATGAAAAATGAGTGAACCATTTCATTAGTTTTCTATTACGCATGTCAACTCAAATTGAGCTAAATATTGAAAGTTGAAGGCTAAGTTTAACTTAAAAATAAGACTTAAAATACCTCATAAAACTTAAGATTTATTCCTTAACTCAGTGGTTTAAGTAACACGTGCTAGTGTGATTCTGCTAATACCCTGTTACTGCTTTTGTCTGTATGTATCAATAAGATATTTATTATTTGAAGTACCCCTTTCTTATTTCCTGGCAGCTGAGGTGTTTTTTGAGAGTTTGACCTTGTCAGTTATTTCCAGAAATCTAATCATATTAATCTGTTAAAGTTTGGGGTTGTATTTACAAGATGTTTTGAATTCTGAGGAACTGTGAAGGTCCATACATTTTGTACTTTTTCCATTCATTTTGCAACGGCCAGAAATCTGGTCACGTTTTGTCACAGAATCACAGAATCATTAGGGTTGGAGGAGACCTCTGAAGATGCATCTCCAGACCCCAAAGCAGGGCCACCTAGAGCAGGTTACACAGGAATGCATCCAGGCGGGTTTTGAATGTCTCCAGAATAGGACTAGTAGAGGGGAAGGGTCACCTCCTCAAGCTGCTGGCCACACTCCTCCCAGGTCCCTCTCAGCTGAGCTGCTCTTACAGCATGTCAGCACCAGTCTGTCCTCATCTTTGGGATTCTTCCTCCCCAGGTGCAGTGCCCTACACTTGTCCTTGTTGAATCATATTAGTTTCTCTCTGCTCAGTTCTCCAGGCCATCAAGGTCCTGCTGAATGGCAGCACAGCCTCCAGGTGTATCAGCCGCTGCTCCTAGCTTCATACCATCAGCAAAACAAAACAAAAAAAAAAAAATCCAGGGCATTGATAATTTGAATAAGACTGGATCTGATATTGATCCCTGGGGAACACCGCTGTCTACAGGCCTGTCTAGAGCCCTGTCTCATTACATTCCTCTGAGTAGGTCTTTGAAGAGGCTAGAATCAGCTCTCTGGAAGTTTAGGGTTCTAGTCCCGCTTACTACTTTGCCTCCACTATTTCAGGGAGGTAATCAAATAACCAGGTTTTCAGGAAGGGGTGTGGGAAGATTCACCTTAACCATAAAACCCTCAGTGTGGTTAGTCTTTTGATCCTCATTTTGAGAGATGGTCAGGAGACATTTGTCACTGTACTGGTTAGTATGATCTACTCCCCAGGAGGAAGCAATGGCATGAGCACTGCCACTTTGAACCCCACCCTTCAACTCTTGTCACAAAAGTCATTACTTTATGAATATAATTCAAAGATAAACTACATAAAAGTAACCCTAATCATATATTTATGCCAGTATAATGACACAGGAGTAAAAAGATACCTGGTCATTATTGGTCTTGTAAAATGCATTGAACTATGTTCTTGAACAAAAGAGTTAGATAAGTTCATGCTCGTCAGAGACTAGTTGTTAGACTGAAAAAAAATTACTCTCTATAAAATTATGGTGCCTGTATTCTTCAAGTGGTATTACTACTACCATTTAAAGAGGGACAGAAATTTAAGTATTTGGCTATGTGTTCTGTTGTAGGCAGCTGTATTTTCTTTTGATCAGATGGGAAAATGAAAAGTGTTGTTCCTGAGATCTTTCAGGGGTAAGGAAATGAGAAGTTCACCAGTTTACTTTAAAAGTATTAATAAATTGCACAGATTCAAAGTTGGGGTTTTAGAGTTTGCTCAGTTCAGACATATTCTAAAATTGCCTTTGGTCTTCAAATTAAAAGTTACTGGTAGATCATAGAATCATAGAATGGTAGGGCTGGGAAGGAACTTAAGGTCTTCTAGTTCCAGCCCCCTGCAGTGGGCAGGGACACCTCATACTAGACCATGTCAGCCAAGGCCCTGTCCTACCCAGCCTTGAACACTGCCAGCGGTGGAGCATTTACCACTTCCTTGAGCAGCCTGCATTGTTGAACTTTATGAGGTTGGCATTGGCCACCTCTCAAGCATGTCAGGGTCCCTCTGGATGACATCCCTTCCCTCCACCGTGTCAACTGCACCACACAGCTTAGTGTTGCCAGCAAACTTGCTGAGGGTGCACCAATCCCACTGTTTATGTTACTGACAAAGATATTGAACAAGATCAGACCCAACACTGACCCCTGAGGGACACCACTCGTTACTGGTCTTCATTTGGACTTTGAGCCATTGACTGAAATCATTAATTTGTTTATGGAGAAAACTGATACTGGAGGTTAGAGAAAGAAACACCAGGTAAAAAGTTGAAAGTGAAATCTGATGTGGAAGTTTTTTCTAGAGGTTTTTGCTCAGTAACATCCTGTGTGTGTTGTTCTAATTACAGTCACACATTCGTTGAGTTTTGAGGGGGCGGAAAGATTTTCTGCCTTGCCTCCTTCATTATTTGTTCTTCATTCAGTATGATATGTGTGGAACTTAATGTACCTTCCAAAGCACCCTCTGAATACACACTCGGTTCCTCATGTTTTCTTCAGCTTTCACCAACGTTATGCTCACATTTCTAAACATGTAATAGTTCATCTTTACAGATACTCATTTGAGTGATGGATTTTACTAGCCTGGCTTTCTAGTTCAGAAACAGGTGCTCGGAGCTGAAGATCAAATTTGTTATGTGCTCTCTAACTTCTGAAGTTTTTCAACAGGATTCTTTACAGCCTAATGTTGTTCAGACACTTTTCCATTTTTGTAACACTTTATGCCTTTAAATCCCAGCTCTTATCAGCTTCTTATATTACTGAAAGTGTTCACTAAGTTTTCAGGTCAGCCCCTCCATGTTTAATGTGGTAGTCAGGAAAATGTAGCAACCTTTAAGACTCCTGTAGAGAAGGCAAGATAAAAGCCCATTCTCCTTGCTTAGCTGCTTGGAGTCTTGAACGTCCTACTATTTGCAGTTGTCTCTTTCACTTGGTTACACAGTCAGAGCTATTGGTAGGGCAAAAGAAGATGAACGCTCATCAGTGAAAACAGATACACAGTAAAGTTTAGTAGCTCATAGTGCATTGACCAGACAAATGAGATTTTCATGCTGAGCATTCAGCTTTTTCAGCCTCCATGTTCTGTTTTGTGTGGTGTCACTGTGCCTGTTACTTCCTAGCCTTTCCTTAAAACTTGTTTAAAGAATTCAGAATCACTTTTCTGCATTTATCTGCATATTCCTTGCTTTTGCAGTTTTGACCCATGACTGTGAGTTCCTTTGCAGCAGTATCTTCTGGAAATCTGTTTGCACACTGAACGTCTTTTATTCACGCTACTTCTTTAGGATAGAGTGGAGCCAAATATCCTTCTGGCAGCAAGGATGTTTTAAAAATGGCAACATCCTTCTGCTCTATATCACTGTGGGTTTAGTATTTGCCTGATGTAATTGTTAGGCCGCATAGTTTGATGGTTTTAACAAGAGAAGATGAAAATTTCTTACTCTACTTTCACTGCACAGCGTGGGCTTGGGGTCACCCTTGAGGTCTGATGGAATGGAAATGAGACTTCGTGTTGGCTCAACATAATTATTTTAACTCCAACTCTGAAAAAAAAATTGATGATAGATAACAGTAGACTTAAAATACTGAAAACAGGTGTATAATGGAAAGTGAGGCAAATAAAGCTTCTATTTCTCAGCACCAGAAATGTTATTTTTAGATTCTGTTATCTGATATCTATTACTGAAATTTGTTTGTGAATTTGAATATGTCCTTACATGTTTATAGTTCACTAAAATTATGTCTAGAAAGCAGTTGCTCTAGCTGAGTGAGAAGTGCAATATTTAATTGTCATTTTATCTGTTCTTTCCTTACAACATTCACCAACCCTTGTTTTGTACTTAACAGGTCACTACCCAAGTCTCTGTGCCAACAAAAACACATGAACTGCTTCATCGAATGAGTGGAAAAGGATTAGCAGCCCGCTATCACTTCTCAAGACAGCCATGCATTTTTGGTGATCGTATGGTATCTGTGCAAATGACAGTAACAAACACAACTGATCACAAGATAGAGAATATTCACATCAAGGAGAAGAAATTACCTCCAGGCATGAGGATGCATGAGTTTAGTCCAATAGGTAATTGTATCTTATCTTTAAAAATATAGAATCTTATGCTTTGCAAAATTTTAAACATAGGAAAGGGGGTTTGCATAGTCATGCCTGTACTCATATAGATATGTATACATACACACACACTCATGCAGCTGTATTTTCTTAGATAATCTGATACAAACAAAAAATTAATTCATCTTTCTCCTACTTGCATTTGACATCAAAAATAACTCCTTAGATAGCAACTTGCATGCCTGAAATCTTACCTGCTTTTTCAAATAACATTTATATCAGTTCCAGTTGATATAATAAAGCTTTTCTGTCTTCCCACAAACTTTGATTTTCTTACAGCTTTAATCCAGAATGGCTATAATGGGCTACTATTTAGAATGAGATTTTGATTTGTATTCACAATTATTGTCTGTCCAGCCTTTTGGGACAACCTGTTCCAGTGTCTCACCACCCTCAAAGTGAATATTTTTTTCCGAATAACTCATATAAATCTACCCTCTTTCAGTTTAAAGCCATTCCCCCCATGTTCAATCCCTACATGCCCTTGTGAAAAGTCCTTCTGCAGATTTCTTCTAGGTCTCTTTCAGGTACTGGAAGGCTGATATAAGGTCTTCCTGGAGCTTCCTATTCTGAACATTATCCTGTGAATCCAGGTCACATTAGAAGAATACAGAAACAAGTTCTTAAAGTACAGCAGTGAAGTAAAAGAGTATACTTGTGTTTTCAGTAAAGCATTAGCATCATTAGAAAGATTCTTGGTCTTGAATTGCTGTATGCTATTGAAATACATATTTTTAATATTGAAAAGGCTCTACAGATTTACAACAAATAGCTACAAAAGCAGTTGTACAATGCTACAGTTTATTTCAGAGTTAAAATCTTGTAGCCATTTTCATTTTTACTATTATCCAGTTGATCAAGATTACTTTTAGAAAAGATACTAATTTTTGTGTTAAGTAAACTGTTTAGTGTTTATTTCTTTGATAAAGGCTGCAGTGCAGAGTTCTGATTTCGTGTTAGTTTTGACCATCATCCTTAATTTATATCCCTCCCTTTAAAGAAATACAGTCACAAAGGCTTACAAATAAAACACTGGTATTTCTGTAAATCAGACCAGGAGATACTGTACTCACAATAACAGTTAGGGAACAGTAGCATCTACTTCCCTTATATTAAAAAAAAAAAAAAGGTAAGTTATCCACTTCAGGTTTCTTGAGTTCTGCAAGACAGTCCTAACCTTTTAAGTATTTATTTCCCCAAGAAGGACATTATTGTGGCATATGTCCTGTGAAGCTTTTGGTTTCTTCGGTGGAAAATAAGTAATATATCTATCATCTGTGGTTCCTTCAAAAAACGTTGCTTTTCTTGTCTGAATGCAAATTTTCTGCATTCTTTGTCATTTTATGTAGCTCAGTTTAAATGCCCTGTTCTTGTAACTGTATCTTCTGTTTTCAGCATTTGGAAAACACATCCTTTAATTTGCCCGGCAGAAATGAAAGAAGTGTCAGTGTAGACAGGTATTCCTACTGGACTGTGTCTAGTTTTGCCACCATCTCTGCAAATAATGTTGGCAATTGTCCTGATTTTGCCAGTAGAAATGGACCAAATTGTTTTACCTAAGTCCCTGTGCTCAGTATTTTCTTGCTGGGTTAGGTGCCTTTGAAACCCTATTGGAAAACAGTAAGATCAAAGACTTCAGTAAGGTTTAGTCTGAATTTGAGCATGAGCCTGTAATCTTTCAATGCTTTACACAGACCTCTTGAAACACTTTGTTTTCTCTTTATTTCTTAGCATTAGATTAGTCTTTGCTCAACTGCATACACATTTTCCATATTTGTCAGACCTTAATCTTGAACAGTTACATTTTGTTTCCTGTTGTTGTGGAGCTACTGCCTACTCTTTATTTCCTAAAAAGCATCAGATAGGTCCGTGAATAAACTGGAAATTAGACACTTTCCTGCCCGCCCAATAATTTTTATTTGAATTCCTATATTTTAACTGTGCTTTTAGGTTTCCTTTCTTGCAATCTTGAGAAGTCAAACTGCTGCAGTGGTGGTTCTTAGTACCTCTGCTTATGTAAAGAACGAGCTTTTCTTCCTTACCAAAACAAAATCTTATCTCTACAGCATTAAGAAAACAGTATAGTGATATAGCCGGGAAACTAAGAATGATGAGCATGTCTTTTAATATCTTAATTTGAGAAGTCCCCACGTCTGCACTGCTTGTAAAGCACCAAATTATCTTCCATTTTGGGTTTATAATCTTTCTACTCCTTTCAGTAACTAATAAAAGTAGAATACTGAGAAATAAGTAAATCATACTAAATATGAAGTATTTTAAGTTCATGTCTTTTCCATTACTGTGTGTGGTAATGTAATTTTTTTAATATTTGTAATTGTTTTTTGCTGTATTTTTTTTACCAAACCGGATTGGGTTTTTATTACATACATTTGCAAACTGGTGTTACTGAAAATCTCTGTGCTGGATCTGTACATAAGTAAAATGATGTAACTTCAGTGTATTTTTTCTGCGAAAAATTTTCCTAGACTTTCTAAGAAAAATTCTTACTTTGTTGATAGTGGGGCTGTAAGATTAAAAGGGCAACATTTCGTGTACACCGACTGCGGGGAGATGGAATCCAAGACACTTAAGTGACATTTGAGTGATACTTACTTGATCTAGAGCTACAAGTATTAGCTATTTTTATGGAGGTTTTGATTTGGGTTTTGTTTGTCTGTTTTAATACATGTTTTCTGATTGTGTACAGTTTGGGAGTTTGCATCTGGGGTTTTCTGTAGCTTTGCATGTGTAGTTTATCTATTAAAAATGTTTTCATGTAGAATGCCTTGAGCCTGCAGGATCCATTACCGTTTCAGTGGGTATTGACTTCTGTGATTCTACTCAGATCGCCAGTTTCCAGTTATGGTGAGTTCCTGGGGAGGGAGGGTGATTTTTTGCTATCTGGAGGCACAAGTAGTGTGTATTGGAAGTTTACTTGGCAGTAGCAGACTTGCTGTTTATTTAAAAATTGAAGAATAGTTCACAACATGATGTATAGCTAAGATGTTTCTAGAGAAATAAGATGAAATTAGTGTTTGGTTTTACTGTTACAAGGATTATCAGTTTACTTCAGTCTTCCAAATTTTTTCACACTTACATCTAAAACCACAGATTTGATGGTAAGCTCAAATCTAGGTTTGAAATCACAGGTATAAATTCAAAAACTCTCTGACAGGTTGTGTTTGGGACGTCCTGTTTTTTCCCCTGGTGCAGATGATACCAAGCAGAAGCGTGAACTCTTCTTCTGATGTAGAATTGCTTCTCTGTTCTTGAGTTTCATCTTTATTATTTACCCTTCTTCCTGGGATTCTTCTTAATAACACTACCTTGAAGGGAGCAGTCAGGTCTGACTAGCCTGCTGGAGTGTTTTGTGTATGCTTCTTCCTTGTAAGAAATCACAAGTCAAAAAAGTGCGTAGTGTGAGCAGTTTTGCTACCTCGAGTGCTTATTATGGCTGTTTGTGATCTATGTAACATGACTACATGAAACCAACCCCAGAATTTGCTGACCAAAGAAACATATTCCTCCTCATGCTGTAGATTATTTAAAATTATTAAAGGGAGAATGAAAAGTAACAGGCTGGCCAACTAGACTTATATACGTGATTTACACTTTTTATGCTCATTAATGGCACATTGATGATGTTCTTTTGTATGAGTTCCTGTTGCATTGTAGGCTAGCAGGGAGCTTGCTCACCCAGTGAGAACTCTTCTATGCGTTAGCATTTGAAACCAGGGAAAATTTATAGTAGCAGTGTCTAAACAGTAGGAATGAATGTATGGGAGAAAGCTAGACACCTTCTTTTAAGAGCTATCCAGGCTTATAGTTGTGGAAGCTATACAGGGGAACTAAATAGATCTGCTTTTTTTTTCTTTTCATATTTTGATATAATGTTTTCTGACATATTTTGTTGCAAGAAGCACTACTTTGTATATTCTGGGTATTGAATAGACATTCTTGTTGCCGCATTCTAGTTTAGCGGGGAAACCCTTTGAGAAAGTTCCATGCCCTTTTCTTGAATACTGTAGACATTTCGGTGTAGTTCTACTAAACACAGCTTTTGCAACTTACTGGTTATTAAAGTTAGCAGGAAAATCTTAATAATAGAGATGTACCCAAATGACTCCAAAAGAATCGCTACTAAAATAAAATTTCTTGCTCTCTGGGCAAGGAGCTTTTATTATTAGATTTATTTGTTTTTACCACTCCTCAAACATGTTCCTATACAGTCTATGCTCATGTATAGTCATTTTAAAGCTATTAGTACCTGCAGCAAGATGTCTGCAGCATATATATTACGTGTATCATGTTGTTATAGCTGGTCTGTATGCTCTTTGCTGGAATTTGGAACCAGCTTTGGACTGTTGCCTGATGCTATGTTTGTTTGGAAAGGGAAGTTCCCTTCTAAGCAATGCAATTTCATGATGGCTTCAAAAGGATAGGCTCTCTTTCCTTAAATATATTTGGGGTTTGGTTTTCTTTTTAGTAAAATATGCTGTTTATCAAGCAGAAACATTCTTTTTTTAAATAGAGGAGATTTTTTTTTTCAAGTACCTATTTTCACTATACTAATGATTTGATTCCAAACTTGGACCATTTGTTGCTGAGAATCTTAGCAGTGATGAGGATAAGCAATGTAGCATAACACATTGATTTTATGCAGATCATCACCGTTATGTTTTGGGAGGTCTGCTGTATTAGTGATATATAAAAACTGATTACTTTCTCCAACATTGCCTAGTAATTGTTTATTATTTTCCTATTAGACAAACAAGACAGATCAATATTCCTGAACACCGACCAGACTATGAGTAACATCACTGTAAATAGATTTGCCTCAGACCTCAGTGGTGTATTCATTTTAATGATTTGGACAATGTGAGTCCAATGACAAGGCGCTCAAGCTAAGTTTAAAATTAAATTAAGAATAGGAATCGCTTACTTTGTTCCTTTGCTAATTGATAGGGCCTTGTTGCTTTAACGCTACTTGTTAGAAAACAGTATGAAAATAGATAAAATGTTCTTTGCATTAAAATTGCTATTTTACTGTTAAAAAATCTATTGTTCAAAATCCTGGTAGTGTTCAATATTATTGAAGAAATTGCACAGTGTGATGTTTCAGGGGCAGTATTTCAGAGGACTCAGCTGCAGCCTTTTTGACTTGTCATATTTATTAAAAACCTTTTGTCCAAACAGAAGAATTACTTGTAGAAGTTAGTCAAAATATAGTTGAAATACTGTGCACGGAAAGGTGTTGATATTCTTGTTTTTCCTGCTAACATATCTTAATGAAAGACATCGACAGTTATTTTGCATTTTTGTTAGAGGCATGTTCAGTGGTAGCGTGTTCCTGATCAAAATAATTTTCCTAACGTTGTTGTAAGAGGAGCACTTTGTCTTGCATCAAATGTAATTGATCCTGAAGCAGTGTAATCACAATTACTCACTTTCTTAATTGGCCTGCCCAAAATCAGAAAATGGAAACCGATCGGCAGCGTTTAAATCAATAGCTTTGTAGTAAAGCTTGTGGGGGTAGGGACATAGTGGTAATGGGTAGATCAATTGGTCTTAGATGCCAATCATGGTCTGTGTGTTTTGCATAGCAAACACTACCTCTCTGCTTGGGGATGTGCTGTTGTACTAGTGGTTCAATAAATACAAACTGTAAGAAGTACAAACTAATATGAGTAATAAAATATTTAGATCTCTTCTGAATCTGTTGTGCAAGTCAAGGACAATGAAGGAGAAACTGCATTATGGAGAGTTCTAAGGCCTGAGCCTTGGAAGACCTCATAAATACTATTTTTATTAAGCAATATCACACATCTAATTAAAAAGAGGTGATATACCTTAATTTGAAAACTGGTCCCAATTAATTTATTTAGATTATTAGATTGTGTATTAAGATGCTTACATTATGTACTTGTAAGAGAATGTCTCTTCTGGGTATTTTTCGTGTATGACCTCCTTCCAGAGGCACGTTCTTTCAGCCACACTGGTGTTCTGCACAATCATGCCTCTCAAGCAGAAAGTTAAAGAGGAATAAATGGAGGAACTTGGTGTTTTAAAAGATTTTTGTGAGCTTTACAATTTCTTTTTGGGTTACTTTGTTAAGATTTTGCAAGCAGGATATACACAACATAGAAGTATAAAGCAGTTTGTTATTGGCAGTCTGGTAGCTTACTGAATCCTAGTTAAGCATTTGTATATTCACAACCCCCAGTAAGAGACCTTAGTCATTGCAAGGCAGATAGGCATCATTGCATAGAGGAAAGGTAGGAAGAGATCCTTGATGATACAGATTGACTGTAGAGCTCCACTGCAGAATTTTATTTTTCCTTGTCAGATTTTTTGTATTTCCACACTGCTGTGTTTTCTCTTGAATCCTGGAAAAAGTGAGGCTGGGCATGAACCACTGCTGTCATTTCTTCTATCGCTTCAGCCATTTTTCTTGTAAAAGCAGGAAACTGTCTTTTCCTTTCTTCAGCAAGACTATGAGCAAAGTCTCCTAACCTTCTCCATTCCATGTTTTGCAGAAACTTAGTGTATGGCTCCTCCTCTTCCTTTTTTTCTTTTTTTTTTTTTCATCTGTGGAGATTTCTTGAATACAAGACAAAAATAGTGAACTGGATTTGAGTAGATGTATTTTGGGTCAAGCAGCTATCAGTGATTGTCGTGGTTTAAACCCAGTCAGGCAACTCGTTCACTTACTCCCCCCCTTCTTTCCCTCCCCCTACTCCCAGAGGGTCAGAGAGGAGAATCGAAAATTGCAACTCCCACGGGTTGAGATAAGAACAGTTTAGTAACTAAGGTATAACACAAATCACTACTGCTACCACCAATAATAACAATGATAAAGGAAGTAACAGGGGAAGAGAATACAACATCTCACCACCAGTCAACCGATAACTCCCCCCCCCCCAGGCCGACCAAGCTCTGACCGATGCCTCCTCCAACCCCGCAGTCCCTGCCCTTCCAGGTAACTCCCAGTTACCTCCTGGGCATGACGTGCTGTGGTATGGAATACCTCTTCGGTCAGTTTGGGTCAGGTGTCCTGTCTCTGCTTCCTCCTGGCTTCCCCTCCTCCCTGACAGAGCATGAGGCTCACAAAGCCCTTGGCCAAACTAAAACATCCTTGTTATCAGCTCTGTTCCCAGGCCGAAAGTCAAAACACTGCACTGCACCAGCTACCAAGGAGGAGAAAAATGACTGCTACTGCTGAACCCAGGACAGTGATGTAAAAAATAATAATATAAATAGAAGAGTATTCCTCAGCCTCTTACTAGAATAATATTTTGTTAAAGCTTTTGAGACTCAAGACTTTGAAGGCTACTATTGTGGAATCTTACAAGAACTCATACACAAGTCATAATATCATTTGCATTAGTTTTAAAGAAGATGTTGCCATCATTGTCCTCAAGTGTTTTGTCATGGCAGATAAATGAAGGGGAGAGACAATAGGGAAAATGGGCATTGGATTCAGATGGCAGGTGTGTGCTGCTCCCACTGCAGCCATCTAAAGAAAAGTTAAAACCATGCATCTTCTAAAGGATTACATGTTAGTCTTGCAGTGTCATCAGGTAGGACCAGATGATTTCCAGGGACCATATGATTTCCAGATGCCCCTTCTGACCTGTATTGTTCTATGGAACTGTCAAATTACTCCTGTTAAATTAGATATTACTACATCTCTAATATAAAGATGTAGTAATAGAGATGCTGGTCAACAATTAAAAGCTCTATATTTAGTCTGTAAAATGTATAATAAAACAAATGATCTAAGGGAGGATGATTTTCTGTGGCTGAAAAAGAAATTTACTGAAGTATGCTAAAATTAAAGTAATGCAAAGCAAAACAGATGCTGGCTGAAGTGAAGTTAAGAACAAAGTGGTTTTGAAGAACAGCTAGCAGTTGGAATTTCTGCTTGCAGACTATGAGGAGTTCATAGTTTATCAAAGAATATCTTACTATCTTTTTAATCACTGGGGCAAAGGGGGGTGGTGTATTTGTTAACAGCAGAGGTCTCAGGTGGTCCTTTTGAGCAGTTAGAGCTGTATAAAACCCAAGCTATGCTCATGCTTTTATTCCTTCTTATTGTAAAAGGTTTGTTATAAGCAATTCAGAGCAATTGGCATGTTCAGTCAATGGAGGACATTGTACAGAGAGCTGTTTTATCTGTGTTATGGTGAATTATGTAGTGCGCATCTTGCTTTAATATGAAAGATAACATTGGTTAAACAATCAGTTAAAACAATACCACTGAAAACGTTGTTGCAAGTTTTAGTCACATAGTCCAGGCAGCATATTTATAAACAGCAAAAAGTTTTGAGGCAGTTGATTAAAGACCTTCCCTTCACCTTCTAAGGTGATGGAGATCCTGGTCAGTTTTCCAAGGAAAAATTAAAGAAAAAAATATTATTTACTCAGACAATCCATGCTCCTCTAGCATGCTAATGGCCTTAGAGGTAGACAGTATTTAAAGTAGTATATGGAGAAAAAAAAAGTGAGAATTTGTTAGCTAAGCAATTTTTTAAAAGCAGCTCCTCATAACGATTCTTTATAAAGGAAATACTAACCAAGTTTGAAGGAATTGTTTCAATGTATGTTTACCAGATATTCATTAGGGACTGTAGTGATAGGACAAGGGGTAACAGGTTAAAACTTAAACAGGGGAAGTTTAGACTGGATATAAGGAGGAAATTCTTTCCTGTTAGGGTGGTGAGGCACTGGAATGGGTTGCCCAGGGAGGTTGTGAATGCTCCATCCCTGGCGGTGTTCAAGGCCAGGTTAGAAGAAGCCTTGGGTGGCATGGTTTAGTGTGAGGTGTCCTTGCCCATGGCAGAGGGGTTGGAACTAGATGATCTTAAGGGCCTTTCCAACCCCATCTATTCTGTGATTCTATGATTTTCAACAAAATTAGTAATAATTCTGAATTTCATTTGAAAAAACAATGCTTGAAATACATAAGCGTAATCGTAGCACTTCAGAAGTCAGAAAGTAAGAATGTACTAGTCCTAAGCATTTGTGAAATTGTGAAATCAGATAACTATGGTAAGTATTAAAATTTTAAATAATAGGACCATAAAATGCTTTCCTGTTTTCAAGCTGCTTGTCTTGCATCTTTAGGAGGTAGAGAGATACCTTTTTTATATTTGTGATCTAGTGCTGTTTTTTCCATCAGTCTTTTTTTCAGTATGTTTAAATTGCAGAGTTATAAAAAAAACACTTCGAGGTTAATTTAAATACCATGGATATTAGTTGATGAAATATATCTTACGTTCTAATGACTGTATCATTATATTTAAGTAGGATATCTGAGGCATATCAGCCATCAATATGTATTGATGTTTAGTTCATCACAAAAAAAAAAAAAAAGTATTCTCTTCTAAAAGTTTTTCATGCCTCAAAGCATTAACAAAAATTTTGACTGGATGTACTGATCCTGAATTGTTAGCCTAATCCTTTATGGTATAGTTAGTTAGTCAAATATAGCAGAATGAATGTATCTTGAGTTTCTATAGCCTTGGAGAACTCCAAGATGAGATAGTTGGAAACTTGGATAATTGATGAGTAGGGAGAGCAAGTTCACTGTATGGTATTCATTTCTTAAGAAGGAATCTATAGCACTTGATAGTAGTATGCTACTACTGATAGAAAGTTTTTTTTACCCTTCTGCCATTACGAAAACTGCCTCAAATTCTGCTGTTTCTCAGTGTGTTTTTACATCAGCCAGTACACTGTGTGGTTTTGTTACTCCAGAATTGTTTGGCTTGTTTGGGTTTTTTTAGAAAACAATAATTCTTCCTGTCTGAAGTTATACCTTTCCTAGGTTTAGCTGTATTTCTGGGACAGCTATTGTTGATGGTGGGATTTGTGAATAACAGTTCTTTTAAAGGAATTGTAAAATGTATAATAATTTGTCCTTTGCAATCATTTAGTTTGAGTGTGATGCTTTATAGATTGCAAATAAACATTAATATGAGTAAAAGTTACATTTTCAGAAACGGAAGAACATGCATGCTGTATTAATACACATTTATACTGGATAAAATGGATCAGCTTTATTGAGATGGACTCTTCATTAGAGACTGTAGTGATAGGACAAGGGGTAACGGGTTAAAACTTAAACAGGGGAAGTTTAGATTGGATATAAGGAGGAAATTCTTTCCTGTTAGGGTGGTGAGGCACTGGAATAGGTTCCCTGGGAGGTTGTGAATGCTCCATCCCTGGCGGTGTTCAAGGCCAGGTTGGACAGAGCCTTGGGTGAGATGGTTTAGCGTAAGGTGTCCCTGCCCACGGCAGGGGGGTTGGAGCTAGATGATCTTAAGGTCCTTTCCAACCCTAACTATTCGATGATTCTATGTAATAAATTAGCAGGCTTTTGGATTAACAAGGTAGAAATCGTTTAGGTAGTTATTACACTGTTTTGAGATTCCATAGTAAAATTGGAGCTGATAAGTATGTATTAATCCTTGTTGAAGCACTTGGTTGATACTCTAATTTCTGTTTTCTCAGCACAAAGGATGACTGTTTCAATGTTAGCATTCAACCCCCTGTTGGAGAGCTGCTTTTGCCTGTCACTATGTCAGAGAAAGACTTTAAGAAGGAGCAAGGTGAGAAATATTTCAGTAGCTTCAATAAATGTGTTTGGATGAAAAGAAGGCTGTGTGCCTTTCAATTTCCAAGCATACAGCAAGTGTTTCCTGTGTAGCTGTTTGTGTTAGTCTCCATTAGTATTCAGTCCAGTACTAATTATTTAATTTTAAAATCTTTTTAAAAGTTTATACAGTGGTATTTGACAGCTTTTCAGTGTGCCTGTAAAAGCACAAAGCCCACCCTTTAGCCTGAAACAGTCTTCTAGCTCTGAGAGTCTTGGCTTTTGTCATGAAGTGTGAATGTCTTTCCTACTAGCAGTAAAGCAGAAAGTTGAAACCACAGCTCAAAGAAATAAAATATATTCATTGATATGGTGCCTGTCTTTGCTAGCCTTTATTCCAAGGCTATGCTTAAATATTCTTAGTGTTCCTAATCCTTGGCTACTTTGAAGATTATTTTAATAATTTTCTTTTCAAACACCTCGTATAAAAAATATTCCTGTTGGAATACTCTTTTATAAAGGTGACATGTTTTATGTACTTCTGCATTCTCCTAATGTTGAGTCTTTTAAGAATGTAAGTTTCTGATGCTAGTCCAAACACAAACCTCGCTAAGAGCTTTTAGTGACGTCAATATTTTATAAAAATAATTAGAGAAAATTGTACTTAGCTTTTCCTGTGTGTTAAATGGAATAGTCCATGCTGCTACCCTTAATTTGGATGTGATTCTTGGATATTTTAAAATAGAAATTATTACATTTTGCATGCATTCAAACATAATAGTGTTTACTCATCTATCTCAATGTATGGGGATTTACATGTGTAAATCTCTTCACATTGAGATGAGAATATACCCATGGGATCCTGTCTCATTGCTGTGTAAGGCTCAGAAACTCGGTATATCCATCAAGCAGTCAGGAACACCAATGAGTAACGCTATGTATTACTAATCACTGCTTTTGAGCATTTCTTGCATTTGTATTTTTGAATTATTAAGAAAGATAAATATTGCCTAGATCATTTTCAGTTAAGCTTATGGCTGTACTGAAAAGTTAGGATTGTGCTTTGTGTTCTTAACCAATTGATACTTATTTGCTGTTCTTACCCTTTGCTGGCTAAAGCCTGCCTCTGCTTTATACCTGCTCAGCAAACCAAGGTGAGTGATTGAACGAGGCTGTGGCACATTTATTCTAAACTCTTCCCTTCTAAAAATCATAGCTGAGGTTGTAGTGAAAGGAAGGCAGATTACTGTGCTTCTCCCTCCCCTTCCCTTGCCTTGTTTTTATATTTGCTTGCTTTGTGATATTTTGATAGAGTTTTTGTATGTTTTACTGTGACTGAGGGCTTTTTTTCCTCCTGACTGGCCGTACAGAACCATGAGCACAAAGAAGAAGTGTACTTGGAGAATAACTGTGGTCCTCTGTGGAGTTGTTGCCAAAATTCCTTTTTCTTCTGCCATTTTACTTCTATGGTTGTTGATTATTTGTCTGAATAAATCTGGCAGCTGTTTGCTATGTTTAATAGAGCAGAAAGGCTACTCTGAATAAAGCTATTTGAAAATTTGTTTATATGAAGTATTTGTAAATCCAGGAAGGTCTCTTGGCATTTCTGTATCGCTCTCTCTGTCTTCCTGAATTCATTCTTTTATGCAGGACTTGATGCTTGCAAATTTACCACAGGTTTAAAAACCTTTTCTATTGCATCTTTTTTTCTTAAAGATACCAGCTGTTTCAGAATATTCATGGTAATAGAGGTCTCAGTTCTAAATTTTACGTAACTATTTATTACAAAGATCTAGCAGCTGCTAGCATTTGGGAAGAATTACTGTGTGATCTTGTTAAGTGAAAAATCCAAATTACAATAATAAATGCAGAGCAATTTAGAAGTTGGTTATATATTATTCTATTTTGTGTTTAACTTCAATTTGTCTGTATTCTCCAAATGAATCTGATTTATATAACTTGGTTTTCACTTGTCATGCTTTTTCTTTTTACTGTTTTTTTTTTTTGTTTTGGACATAAGATGTTTCAAGTCTTGTACTTGGAGATGCCTTATTTTATTCACGACCAGAACAAATAGGTAAAAAATAGTGAAAGAGTGAGGAGAATATTAGAAATGCAAGATTATAATTGGGGAGAATGAGAATACATATGGGTTTTAGGGATTTTTACGATTAATCACATGTGTAACCTAATAAGAATGCTAAAGAGGAAATAGCTGGTATTATACTGCTATGTAGAAGACAGCTTATTGCTACATATCTTTACACTCTGCTGTTTTGCATTGTCTTTTACATTTGTATTTCTCCATTTTCTTCCTAATGGTAGAAGGAGTGGGGAACAGATAGGTTATTGAATATTCATGGCTGTGAAGGTTGTATGATGGTAGTGGCAGAACCTAGAAAGCTGAATTTATCCCCATGCTGTGTGATAATGCTTAGCCTTATAGACGGTCTTCCCTTTCCTCCTGAGCCGGGGAATCCTCCGATGAGGTAATTCCCCAGAGCAGCAGCTGAGTTAGCGGTTGATCTTGTGATTGACAATTTGGAAGCAGTGGATAAAAATGGTATTGCCAAACTACTCTTTTCTGTTTAAATACTTTTACTGATCTTTAGTTTTACCTGGTTTACATATATATATATGTATGTGTGTATATATATATATATATATATATATATATATATATACACATATACATACGTTGGTTTGCATCACATCCCCGTGGGAAGTCCAGTTTCTGTAGCAGTAATTCTGCATGATTGATTCAGGTACTGTTGGAAACTCTCTACCAAATTTTTCACTTGTGCTGATTTTTGAAACAGTAGCAAAACTCCACTTGCCTTAATTCAGAGTAGAACTAGTTTAACTTGGACATACCTTGCTACCTACCAGTGTAAGTGTTCCAATTTCACTTCCTTTTGTTATTAAAAAGTTGTAGTTGTTTCATTGTATCAGTTAGTTAACCCAGAGTAATTGCTGCTCTATGCTCTCACTAGAATTCTCTCAGATTCTGAAGTTTCAAGGAATATTGAAGGTGGCATGTGGTTTTTATAACTGGATATCTATCAGAATTTTTACGAAGGTGTAAAAAGTACTTAGAGTATAAAGACTGTTCCCCTCCCACCGCAACATGTTTTAAAATAATTATCTTTTTCTTTTTATGTGTATACCTGATTCACATTTAAAAAACAACACAAAAACACCTTTGTTAAGTAAACAAATTGTTTACCTAATTTCATTAAGATTTATATATCCAACTTGTCTTCCTAACAAGCAAGATGCTAATTCTTTAAATGGTTGGACATTTACTATTTTCTGGCCCTTGACTACCATGAGCAATCATATTTGATGCCCCTTAATTAGAGCATCCTTTTTTCTTTCCAGGTTCTTTTCCACCTCAGCAATCGAGACAATACATTTGCTTACCATGCTGCTCTCCTAAGTGTTCTTTTGCATGTAAATTAATCTTGATTCAGTTTACACTGTCATGCTGAGTGGTACAAATTGCCTATAACAATAAAACAGCATGAGTTAAAAATAAAGGGGGGTGAAAAGGCAGATTGAATGTGTGCCTTACTTGATAGGATGTTACTTTGCTTTATGCCAATACATTAGTTGACGATAATGAATCTTCTGTTCTGAAAAGCATGGTTTAGTTGATTTTTTTAATTTTACTTCAATGGAGCAGTACCTTGTCTTTTATAGAACAAGTTAGACAAACCATTAATGACAAGAGTGTTAAGGTTAAATATGAAGCAATGCATTCACTTCTCTGAGTGCTATCCATCTTTCCATTTACAGGAGCTTGACAAAAGTACTGGCTTTGTACAACATTTCCTTTAATTACATGCTGCGGAAAACAGGCTTTTAACATAAACATAGTTGCATTCATTTATTCAGCATTTGCTCTTCAATAGAGCTTAATGGAGAAGGTTTAAATCCTAAATGAGTACACGCATCTCTCAGCAGTGTTATGTCAGTCCCTGGCTCTGCTTAAAAGCAGTTTTAGGCTGCATATGTAGTTTTTAAAGCTTTTGCCTAACAGTGAAGTTAAACAATTTGAAACAGAATGTTCTATTCCCAAGATAAAGCTGGTCTTTATAGAAGTTGTATGCTTATTTTTGCTCTCTGCAAGAAGTGATCATGTTCAAAAATAGCCCATTATTTACTTATGAGCTGTTCCATCTTTACTTTGATATTTCTTATTTTGTGGCAGCAGCTAATGCACATTCTGTGGCATAAAAATGTTGGGTTTATTTTTTTAATTGCTCTATTAAGCACCTTAGTGCCGTTTGCACTGGATTAGAACCGTATGTGCAGCCCTAAAATACTCCCCTTTTGAGACTTTTGCATTGTTTTCATTGTTAATGTTATTGTGGATTTCAGATGCTTCGTATTTCTGCCTAAAGCACTTTGCTCCATTGTTTGTCTGCATTTTCACCTGCATTTTCTGAACATAGTGTAAAATCACACACAGAGTGTTAAGTTGTAGTTACTATTGGCTTTTAATCAACATGAGCATCCAGCAAATCATTAATTCAGAACAATGGATGTTGATAGGAAAGTGGAGGTTTTTGTTAAAATGTCCTTGATCAACATTTCCTTCTTTGCTTTTTTTTTGTCATATGTTTGGATACAATACTGATATTTCTGTTCCATTTTGTAGTGATATTCAAATTATTTTAATGAAATAGTTTATGGTAACATTTTAGAGAATTTCCCAGTTTCTAATGCAATGACTTGATCTTTATGAACTTAATTGAACCAGTGACTACTGTCTGAATGTCAAGATTATTTTTAGCAGTTGGATATGAAGTTGTAATTAAATGCAGTGGGTTTATAATTGAAATATTAGAAGATGTCTTTGTATATGCTCTTACTTAAACTGAACTTTTCCAAATCAGTCTTACTTAATTTATGTTTGCATTCTTCTTTTAAGGTACACTTTTTCTGTAAAACAGAGCCATCTTAGTTTCACAGTTGTATTAGTATCATATGTCATTGTTCAGTTATTAGTAATTATAGGGCATTGCAAGTAATACCTTGAACAAATGTAATTAATTTATTTCAAAATTGTTTTCTTGACTAATGGTTTAACTTTTAATGCAAATGTGTGTTTTTGCTTAGAAGTCTTTTGGTTTTACGTTTAATAAGCAAGCAAATCTTAAAGTACTCACAAGGAAATACTTAACATTTCAGGGATGCTGACAGGAATGAATGAGACATCTGCTACAATAGCTGTTGCTCCACAGAACTCTACTAGACTTGTAATAATAGAGAAGCTAGTGAAAGCAGCAAACCTGGGTGTAGTCCCTTCTGGTCAAGATAACATACACAGGTAAGATTACATCATTCATAGTGGAACCATCTTTTAATATGAATTCGTTAGTTCAAAATTGGTCAACATTTGATAGTATTAGGGAAAAATTTATTATCCACACCTTTAACAGATGAAATACCCAATTATGCTGCAACATAGAACCCTAAGCAGGTATAAACTTGAGCCTAAGTACTCTTAGCTCTTCATTTTAATGTATATATCTAGACTGTACTGTACACAGTTAGGGGGAGTTGTCCTTTCGTGGTTTTGTTTCAAAGGGAAAATGTAGCCATTTAAAGCACAGTAATTTTAAGAGCATCTGTATGTTTGTTTTTTTTTTACTTTTGTTTCTGTTTCTAAAAGTAAGTGGTCTTATTCAAGTGCACCATCTGTGAGAAGCAGCTTATTTTTCCCACGTTGATTTTTGACCTGTGATATCCAGCTAGCTAAACCTAGAAGTTGGTTTTTGGTGTTTGTTTCAGGGTTGGGGTTTTTTTTTTTAGTTGGACGGAGATATTTTTAAATGCAGGTTGAATGTTAAATTGAACATTTCTTTGTCCTTCCTATATTTATGCAAGGAAAACCAGTGATCAGCCACAAAAGTCATTGGTCCTGACTAAATTTTAAATGTTACTTGTGATCAGTCCATTTCATCCAAAAGCTGTGGTACAGAATGTCAGTGGAATTGATATGATTGTTGGTTAATGGCAGCTTTTAATGTGATTGACTCAAAATATTTAGCCCCATGAATCTGTATGCCTTGTCACTTGTGACAGGAGCAAACAGGAAAACTGCCATGTGTCGAAAACTGAGTGGACACAAATAGCAACAACAAGATGTGATTGGAAGCTGTTAACCTAGTCTTGGAATAAGAAAATGCATGCATTTCTCCTAGAATCTACTAAAGCTGTTCCAGAGTGTGAATTATCTCTTTAGCTCCTGAATATTGCTGTTTGAATAAGAGCAAAATATCTTCTTTTAAAACAAAGAATAATGTTTCTCTCTGAAATTTTGCTGACTGAGATGGCTGTTTGGAATAGTGAGAATCATGTAGCGTACACAGGACTAATAACTTGGTATTTCTCTTTGTTGGATTTAGTCTTTTTTGCATCACCGGGCATTTGTATTGTATTGCCTTAACATTAACCCAGCTGGATTTTCCTATGTATTTGATACGGTCAATGATAAAATTCTGTTTCACCATAAAAACATGGTACAGCAAGTGCGATTGCACTGAAATGATTGTCACTATTGACACCTGCTCCTCCATGAAAGAGTCCTCATTTGTTGCATCCCTGAGGGATTTATACTGCCTCAGTATCAATTCAAAGATGGGTGAGAGTGTCAATCAAAAGAGACTGAGTGTCTGCAGCAAACAGGTGTTCTCCATCTTTACCTTATCTATCACATGAGACTTACCACATAGGGATGGATTGTTTGTGACTGAGTCTTGAAAAGGCTTCCAAAAGTAATAGCTTAGTTCCTAGCTCAGCCAAAGGTTTCCTGGTTGTAGATAAGTTCCTAATTTGATCTTGCTTTTCTCTTGCTCTTTTCAAGAAAAAAAAAAAAAAGGAAAAAATAAAAAAAAAAAAAAAAAAAAAAAAGGAAAAGGGGGTTTTGCACAAAACAGAGTCTGTGACCAGCAGTAAATAAATTGAAGATGTACTTCTGGTTGGGTACGCGCCTTCAGAGACAGTGGTTGAAAACATATTATGGTCAGGCTGAAGTATTCAGAATGTTTTAGAGCATCCTGAAATGTTCTTTTATGTTTTTGGTTTGATTCAAAATAGAGTGTAGTCAGTCTGCCACAGTAGTTACAGAATAGTTCGTCTTTATAATATCCATCAGGCAATAAAAATTGTGTATAACAACTTAAATAGCCTACAAGAAATACCCAGCACTGATAAGCATTTAGAAAATACCCCTTCATTTTCTTTACCATAAGTAACTGTAGTTCAGAGATACTGTGTGGTCGTAATTGCAGATAGTTTTTACTGAGAAAAAGAATGGGAATACTAACTGATACTGCGGTGAACCTGTTCATCTTTTAAATAGCACTACATTATGACTAAAGTAAATCCTAGGTTTAGATAAATGAATATTTGAGATAGATTAGACAAAATTCTGAAACAAATTATTTAAATACATATACACATATAAAAGTATACATATATTTAGATTAAATCAACTGCCATGAAAGTAAATAAAAATGGAGTCTCTTCTTCCAAAATCTCACAGATGCAAGAAGTGTGTCATGTTTTATTTATGTGACATATACACCATTTCAGGATGATAAATAAGGAGTCACCTTTTACCTAAACAGAGCAGTTACAAATTCAACAAAAATATGTTAAAAGTGAATTTTTTTCCTATTTCTGCATATTGTTGTCTGTCTTGTTTGTTTTAGTGCAAGTGGTATTTGGGGGGAAAATTATATACAAGAACTTGGTTTAACTCATTGTGCTATTCTGTGAGGACTACTTGAGCTCACTTCTTGGAAGTCCTTAGTACATACCCTTTTACACAGGAAAAGAAATATTTTTAAACTGATGTTTTGCACTGTGCAGCACGAATTACATTAACCTCTTAGTTGGTCATACCCAACTTAAGTACTTCTATGTAATGATGTCTAATGCCAATAAATTTATATTATCTGGTAATGCAGTATACTCATTCAAAATTAAATTGTTTAGTTTAGTACAGGTGTATCCAGTCAACACAAACAGGTGTGTATTTCTTGGGTTTTTTTCAGTCTAAATGTATTCGCACTCATGACAAAGACATTGTCATTCTGGTGGGACCCAATTACTGCTCCTTAAATTGATAGCCCTATTTAGGATTGTATTTTTGCACCAATTAAAATCCTTAGAGCAAATATAATGAAGATGTGAAAATAAATACTTGAAACAAATATCAACAGAATAGCATGCAGTCACCAATGAGAAATGAAAAAAATATAAATCTGTCAAATACATCAGCTGTATATTAGTCTGTATCACAGTATAGCAACACCTTCTTAGGTGCATTGTTTTCTCTCTTTACTATATGGCTGCTGAATACTTATATTTACTTAAAACATAGTAATTTCATTTTTAACTGAATGTAGAACAAAATGCCAGATAATACAGTTGATTCTATTTTAAACTCTCTTTTCTGACTGTTTTTATTTGAAGTGATAGCTGCAAAAGCTTTGAACTCGGTAGCCAATATATGTATCAGAACACAAAGGTGCAGATTTATATTCATACATTTGTAAAATAAATTTGCTATGCCATTTTACTTTCTTAAGTGTACTTTCCTGTTCTTGGAATGAATTAATATAAGCTAGTAGATTACTGGGCCTTGTAAGGCTGCATATGGTGCATTCTCATGTCCTTAATAGGATTTAGCTATGTATTGATCTCTCTTGCTTTTGTGATCAAGGGGAAACATTATTTCAATTTTAAAGGCTTCTGCCAAAAGCAAGAATGTGAAATGCTTTTCAAAGAGAATTTTTTTTTTTAGTAGAAAATATAATGTCTCAAATATGAAAACTTCAGAAAAAAAAAGGGTATTTTTCTTAAAATATTATTTCACAAGAGTGATTAGGGTATTTTTTTCAGTTGCATAGCTCTTTCAATGTCTGAGAAATGTTGTTTGTTAAAAACATTTTAAGAAATGAAGGATTGGAAGTGGGTTGAGAAATACATAGATGTTGGCAAAGTGATTTCAAAAAGAGTCAGCTAAAGCACCAAGCTTCTGTCTGGTGATTGAAACCAGTGGGTACCTGTGGGTACCATTTGAATGTCTAAAGACAGAGACATGTAAAGAGCAATATTTGTTTCTGCAGCGAATTAAATCAGTCTGAATAACCACATTTAGAGACTAGGTACTTTTCAGTTGAAGTATTTCTGCTGTTTATTGTCAGTGGGAAAAGTCTACCAGGAATTTTTCCTTCTTTAAGGTAAGAGAATACATAAGTGAGGACATTTATTTCCCACAAAGTTGACTCTTCTGTGGACCATCACTTCAGTTCCCTGTCTCTATCTTGGCAATAATATTCATTGTTTTATATATCAAAAATAAATTCTAGGTTATTCTCTTCAATTCCAAAATGTGATGAGATGAACACACTATTCAACTCAAGATTTTAAGTATTTTTAATTTTAACAAATACAAGCCTTATTTATCCAGAAATGCCCTTCATGTTAGTGCTACCTTCAAAATGTGTTGCATATTCCTCTCACATGAATATTCTAAAAGTTCTTTAGGTATCTTCCTCTTCTGTCATTTTCAGCTCCATAACCTCCTACTAGGATAGGTAATCTTCATTTTCTTGACTTCTAATATAGCAAAAGGCAACAGGTGGTGACAAACTGAAAAGACTAGTTGCAAACTTTAATTTTAGACTTGAATGCTCTTATGTACCCCTTGAAAAAGTCAAAATATTGTCAATTATTGTCTAAGGCTCTCTGCATGAAGGAGAGGTATTTGAGGGTAAATTGGCTTAGGAAGAAAATAATGGAAATACACATTTCCACTCCCTACAAAAGATGGTGCAAAAGCTTTTAATATGTACACATAGCATATAGCAAAAAAATCTGTTCAGAGGTGGCATCATCAGAAGCAAACTGGATTTGCTTCTTCCCTCTTTCACTTTGTTTTATGCTTGAGTGATTCCATTGACATCAGAATATAATGTGTAATGCAATGGAGAATCAAGCTGTCTTGAACTGACTTCCTGTCTGACTTCTACTTCCTGAAACATTTCTTGAATGGGATACATTGCACTCTAGTAGATCATTTCCCTCAGTGACCATGGCTCTACAAAATGATGTAAGGTAGAACACCTTTTCCATGCTTTTTG